CAGTCTATTATCCCTGTAATATAACTAAAGTTAAACACTTGATTTTTTAAAAGAAAATATTTACAGCTTTCGAGTTTAGCTATTTAGATATTTTTGAACAGATTTATAACTACAAATTCACAGCTTAAAAACATTATCAATCATTATACATATATACAAATTTTACTTTAAATATACTTTAATTATTAATAAGACTAATTCTACAATCAGTGTTAAAAGGGTTATGTAACAAGTCAACAGCTTGATAAAGATTCCTGTATGTGAATTGAAGCGTTGCAAAATTAAGGAAGAAGTACTATAAGAGTGTTCTTTATTATAGTGTTCTAGCTACGTGTAAATGTCACATTAAGATGTTAATTAGCTTGCTAAACATAAGTTATTTCTTTGATTGAATCTTTGCGTTTATTGGCGATATGGACGTCAGATTGTCACATATTAAATCTTGCATGATAAACGCAAAAATTTATATTCAATTCCTAAATTACCCAATAGTTACAATAGAACGTATACACAACAGCTCGGAAGCTGTCAGATCTGTAGCGAACAGGTCTAGTTTGACTTCTATTCATCTCACAGAAAAAATTCGAAAAGTTTGATAATGAACAAATTTACAGTTTTAAAGCAATAAATAAATCACTATGCAAAAACAAAATTCAACACTTTATTAAAATAAATTATACTCTAATTACAGAGATTATAAAGGTGTTATAAGGATGGGTGTTATAAGGATTATGTAATACTGTCAACAATACATTTATAACAGGTGTAAACTAGGTCATAACCCTAAACAGAAAAATACAACTGTCATAATAGTCTTTCAATCAAATCAAATGTACATCAGATAAGGGGCAATAAAGATTCCTGTATGCGAAATGAAACGTAGCTAAAATCAAAGGAAGGAGTAACATATCTATAATAGTGTTCTTTATTAATATTCTATCTATTTTTAAATGTCAGTTAAAGATAATTATTTAGCTTGTTAAATGTAAGCTATTTCTTCAATTGAATTTTAATTTTCTTTGCGTTTATTGGAGTTATGGACGTTATCAAGTATTAAATCTTCCATGAATGGCATTGCAAAAGAAACGCAAAAAATTCTACATTCAATCCTTAAATAACACAATAGTTACAATAGATGAAAATGTTTAACAGCTCGGAATCTGACAGATCTGTGTCGTACAGGTCTAATTTTAATTTGTTATATTTATATTTTTCAGAGGATGGAACCATGTATGTGAACAGAAAGGGTGTAAGAAGGTTATGTGTCCATCGATGGCAATGAGAAGCTTAGAAGACCAATGTGTAAAGCGCCTAAAGT